ACTAAAAAATCTATTGCTGTACTTTTCCCTCTCTTGTGTCTTTGAGAACCTGACTGACCTACATTTATTTATTGTATCAGCTTACACTGTCACATGTTGGAAAAAATTGTTATATTAAGGTCATAATCTCTCTTTCATCTGTTTCATTCACAGAAAAAAGCCACCGACCCGACAAGATTCACGAACAGAGGAGGGAATCTTCTCAAAGAGGAGAAACAGCGGTCTGAGCTGCATAAAAGCCTGCCCAAGGTAACAGATTAATGAAATGCCTCCTATCGTTTCCTAAACTAAAAATATATTTTCATTTGATCTTATTTGTCATGTGTATGTGTTTTTGTTTTAAGCTTGAAAAGAAATTAAAAGCCCAGATCGATGCATGGGAAGGTGAACAGGGTCGTGAGTTTCTGGTAAACGGACAGAAGTTTCTGCAGTATGTGGAGGAACAGTGGGAGCTGCACCGAATAGAGAAAGAGAAGGAGAAACAAGAACGGGTAAGAAAGCTGCCTTGTCGTATTAGAGGCTTAGCCGGTATGTTTGCTGGGAAATGTGTTGACACTTCTCTTTACACATTTTCAACAGCATCTCAAGAAGAGCAAACAGACCGAGGAGGACATGCTGTACGGAACGGCAGTACGAACCCCCACCAAACGCAGATTCCTCGCCACTCCTACTTCGAATAAATCACGGAAGGTGGTAAACCTAGTTTGTGGCTCACTGTTATAGCTATGGCATCGATTCTTTGGGCAACACTTTATTTTTAAGTCTTTGTAACATTTCAACTCTGTCGCTTTGTCTGTAAATGTTTAACAGATTATCTATAGAGTATAGGTAACAATTCATGCTGTCAAAATATTACAACTATCTGTAGGCGGGTTACACTCCTTTGTTCAATATCTTTAGTCGTCTGGCTGTCACTAACCCTCTGTCTCCGTCTCTCTCACCAGTTTAACGCGACTTCCAGCATTTCTAGTGCCACCTCTAACAGCACCATGCGCTCTGCCTTTAGTGGAACTGTCTGTCGCTCACCTGTGCCCCGCCCGCCTCTCTCAGCAAACAAGGTTGGTTTCTTTTTCAAGATGAAAGAAGTAGGAGTTATACACGCACACAAAACCTTAATGGAAAAGTAACAGGAGATGAGTGGGAAATAAATCTGCACACTCCGTTGAAACTCCCTTGAAAGTAAAACTTTGCAGGACAATAGAATTATTTTTATTATCACTTTCTGTGATTATTTAATTGTTTAATATTTTGCTCCAGCTCATCTGATGTAATTATCTCCTGCTATGTGTCCTCCAGGGTCCAGCACCGCGGACGCCAGTTGGCGGCAAACCCCCCCACCCGCGACTGCAAGGCTGTAACAAGGAGAACGAGGCCCAGCTGAAGGGGACTCCTCTGAGTGGTGCGTTGCTGACCCCCGCTAGCCCACAGCGTAACTTCAGCATAACCTCTGTTGCCAGCACATATTCAGAGTTTGTGGTAATTTACACTTTTGTCTCTAATCTATTTTCTCTGCGTCTTTTTGCTCAGTTCTGCTCAGTAACACATTTAAGAGCACTGTAGAGGTTTTCAGATCATGTACAAATGCTAATGCTGTAAATTTATATTGTAGAGGGACTTGGTCAACACTGAATCTGTTCAGTCAAGGTGTGTTTGGAATCCTAGAAGCTTGTGTAATTCTGACTAATCTCTTTTTGCAGTAATTGCATGCCTCTAATCGGAGGGATAATTCCCTTTTTAAAGAGCAACTTGAATTCTGTTTTAGCTTCAGCGTGCACAGTTAGCAGGCATTCAGACTGAAATCAGCCCAGTGTTCAAAAACATGCAGGTGTGTGTTAGTGGTGCTTCTTCAGGTACTGCTGAGACATTAAATACAATCCAGGAAGTCCAGTTTGAGTAACAGATCCATGAATTTGACATCTCAGACGCTAAAACACTGAGAGTGTTGTTTTGCCGTAGTTACCTGCGTTAGCTTCCACGCTGCCGGTGGACTGGCCTCATTTAAACGAATGAGAGGGCTGCGTTTTTTCACACAGGGCTCAAGTCGGTCTGAATGCGAACTGCTAACCCCACAACCCCTGACAGTCCCACGCACTTCACAGCTCTGACAGATCGTTGTCTCTGCCGTTTATACCCCCGACGTTGTAACTTGTAGTCTTCTAGTTGAATTAGTAAACTGTTCAGCGCATGTTTGCTTCCAAGTGCTGTCTCTTCTTCATTTAGTCACATTACATACGAGGAATTAACCACAACGGCTGCTTTTGTGCTCCCACAGCGAGACCTGTCCAAGGCCTCTAACGCCAAGATCCAGCACGACATCCTGAACTCCACCACCACCAACCTTTGACCTCTCTCCGCTCTGACAGGGACTGCGTCGCCTATCATATCGTAGTCCTTTTTAACGACGTTATGATATCCAATACTGGCTCACTGCTTTTATATGTAAATGAAGGTAATAATATATTAAGTGTTAAGTCGGTGATAAACGGGGAATCTTGCCAGTTTCTGAGTGTTTCTTCAGCGTTTCTGGACCTTTGTCACTGTCTGGAAGAGAAAAGAAAAGTTTGTATCCTAAGTTAAACTAACACTACTTTAGCTCTCTAAATTCTGCCAGTCATTGATATGTAATAAATGTTCTCTGCGTCTTGTACTGCACATTTGTTTTAAAGAGAAACGAAAGAAAATTTAGCTTTCTGAAGTTATGCAATCTGGAGTTACAGGCCAAATGTATTATGAATACTTTGCACTTTTGTTTTTTTTAAATATATTGCAGCGCATAGTGTACATTTACACACTCACACTGTTCCATCCAAATCTGTTTTTATACATGTATGTATGTGTTTGTGTACATATTTCTGTATCTGCTGTTCTCTTCATAGAATCTGCACTGTTTGACAAAAATGTTAGTTGTTTAAACAGGCCGTTAAGACTGTTAGTTAACGTATGTATTGGTGCTGCATAAGAGTTTAAATATATAGCTAAATCACATGGATCCAGTACACTATCATGGCTGATTTTTGGAATAGCTTGTCAAAATATATTAAATGCATTTTCACTTAAAAGGCTAAGTGTTGTGAAACAGCAAATTTACCACAAAAAAATAGCAAATACAGAATCTGAACATTCAGACAAACTACAGTATATTTGAACGTCTGTACACCAGCTTGTTGTTGTTTTTAGTATTTTCAGTCACTCAGCCTCATCAACACATTAGATGTGTTAGAATTTTATCAGGTGTGAATGCTGACACAACAGTAGACTGATTTCACAATCCAATATGGCTCACAGGTGGTTTAAGATAAGATATTCCTTTAT